AGGCTCCCAAGGAGCAGAGAGCCCGATGCGGGACTCGATCCCAGGACCCTGGGATCATGACCTGAGCTGAAGGCAGACGCTTAACCATCTGAGCCACCCACGCGCCCAGGATTTCATCTTTAAAGTACTAACTTCAGAACTGCTAGAAGAAGGGAAAGCATGTGGGGAGGGTTAGAAATTTTTACAACTTGGTCAGGTTTCAGTGTTTAAAAATTTTGGGGGTGGTGGAGGATTGGTTCATGTTTTTCAACTAGTTTTACCTAATGGCTGAGGTACCAGAACGATACAGAAGAAGAGAGCAAATTTGCACTCAAGTCAGAGGATGATAGATTAGGTACCAAAGAGACCTTAACACTTGATGAATTTAACCTCCTTGTTTTCTAGGTAAGGAAACTGAGACTCAGAGAAGTCAATTGATTTGGGTTAAGTCCCACACCTGGTCAGTAGAAGTATTACAGACAACCCTATGTGAAACATACCCAATGGTTATACTGCTGAGAAAAGGGAATGTCAGCAGGTCAAAATAATACGTAAAGTAGGGGATTTTGTTTCAGAACTTTAACTCCCATCCCATTTTGCTTCTAGGTGAACAGGAAAGAACCCCAACTAGGAGACTATACATAAGCACAGTCCAAGGAAACCCCACAACACCTGATGGTAGGGCATGGATGCAGGGTGGTAGGGCCCTCTCCACTGTGGTGCCGTGACTGCTTCCTCGGTCGGTACTGTCACCAGCCTGGTGTGGAGGAGACTGGAAGGAACTGGCCCCAACAGTTTCTTCCATATATAGTATGACTTCATTGGAAGGACTGGTTTTGTTTGTTTGTTTGTTTGTTTTTCCTAGAGCATTGGTCATTGTCAGTGCTGTCTGCAAGAGATCGAAGTGCAACATTGGCTGAATCAGGGCAGCCTCCTGTGTCCCTTTATGGGTCACTAAACTCCAGGTATAAGTCAATGATCTGGGGAGTCCACATGAAGTGGGAAGTGGCCAGATTCCACTTTGGGAGTGTATATAAGAGGGTAATGTTGGATGTGAGGTGCACACCAAACTTTTAACCTGTATATGGGTTGGGTGCTAGGCAAGAGGTTGGGAGGAGGTCACTGTCCTTGGAAAGGCCTGGCCACAGTATGGCCCTGAAGATCTACTGGAAGGCTTGGTAGAAGGGGGCTATATAATAGGCAAGAGTCTCAGTAGGAGGAAGGGAGGTGGTACAGAAGCTGCTGTCCGTGGTGCCGCTCAGAAACTGCCCTACTTTCCAGAGGTAGCAGGACTAGAGTTATTAACAGCCCGACAAGCTGGGGCCTACTGATTCTGAGGGAAGATGGCTGGGGTAAAGTTGGTATGGGACTGAAGCAATGAAAACATGCCCATGGGGAGGTGGGTATTGGGAGGCCATGGAGTACGTGCTTTGTTCTTTTTAAAATTGTGGTGAAATACACATGACATAAAATTTACCATTTTAACCATCTTTTCAAGTATATAATTCACTGGCATTAAGTCCATTCTCACGGTTATCGCACTGTCTAGTTCCAGAACTTGTTCATCACCCCAGATGGAAACACCATACCCATTAAGCAGTTGGTCCCCATTTCCCCTTCCTCCCATCCCCTTACAACCACTCATCTACTTTCCGTCTTGTCTTTATGGATTGTGCATGGATTTTATGTCAGGCAGATCTGGGTTCACCCTGTCTATGCCACTTTCTAAGAGTAACTTGGCTCAGCTAACTTTGCTTCTCTGAGCCTGTTTTCCACATTTTTAGAATAGGCATAAAAATTCTTAACCTACAGGACTTGTGAGGAGCGATTGTATATTAAATGTTTAGCTGAATTACCTGGTTTCTTTTTTTTTTTTTTTTT